AGTGGGAAAGGGAGAGAAGGGAAGACATGCTGTTGAATAAATGTGACATAAAAGCCTGGGGACACCTCAAACCTACTGGGGGGACCTTTGAGGGTGCAAAATTCTTACTGTGGGACCTGACTGAGCTGAAGTGACTCCATGCGGGCCTGCTAATGGGCCAGAGACCCTGCTTCCCCCTCTCCTTATCAAACATCAAGAAAGATCTGCTCAAACTTTCAGGTGCTAATTGCTAACTTGGTTAACAGCTCGCCCAGGGACAAATGGTATGACAAAAGGTGACCATAGAACATTTCCTGCGTGAGATAAGCAGTGTGTTTGGAATCTTATCCCCTGGTAGTTCTGTGAAGGCCCTGACCTATATTTGAACGTTTTTGTTTAGAAAAACCCTATAAAACAACCTCAGCCCCTGAGCAGTTGCCTCTCTGAGCTAACAAAGGTCTGTTTACCATCTAGCCTGGTGTGTTCCTTCCTGGGTGACTCTTGTTCCTCCGTGTGGAGCTCCCGGAGCCTGAGCTATAGGTCCCAGCATCGTGGAGGCCCTTTTGGCTGTTCATGGCTCCCAGAAGTAAGGCCCTGGGTCTTGCATCCGGAGCCCTCCTTGGGCTATAGGACTCAGAATCGTGGAGGCCTTTCAGCTGTTCACACTCTGTGGAGTGGAAGTGAGACTTTAGGTCTTACATTACGGACAAGGAGGAGCACAAAACCTTCATCGTTTCGGTAACTTGTGATTTGATTGTGCAGCTGAATCTGACAACTGGGCCTATGAGAACAGAAGAGTATTCTGTAAAAAAAGTTTCTGTTAATCTAGTTGTTTTTTGCTGGTGGTGGTGGTGGGTTTTTTTTTTTTGGTTTTTGTTTTTGTTTGTACCAGGGATCAAACTCCGGAACTTGTGCTGCAGCGGACCACTGAACTAAATCCCCAGCTCTGTAAATCTCAAAGTATTGTGAAATAGAGGGTTTCAAGCAAGCATGTCAATTATAAATACATTTAACTACAAGTAAAAGAAAATACAGGGCTGGGATTTAGCTCAGTGGTTCTGGCACCTGCCTTGCAAGTGGCAAGGGTCCAAGTTCTATCCCCAGTACCAAAAAACAAAAAATCCAACCAATGGGCTCAGAGCAAACATAAAGCAAGGATGAAAGCAGGCTGCTGCAGACAGGGAAGTATCTCACTATGTCATCAGACCCATCGCTTCTAAATCTTTCTTCACTGTCATCAGTTTCATAGTCTATAGCCTCAGGGTTATAAGATGGCTGCTGAAGTTCAGGCATTGCACCTGCATTCAAGGCTAAAAGAAGGAGGAAGGTAGGAAAGGATGACACCAGCTGAATGTACTCCTTAAATCAGGAAAAACAAAATCTTCCTAAGAAAACATTCATCTCACTGGCCAACACTTAGTCACAACATGGCCCACAGAACTACGACCATGTGAGAGACTAGGGAGAGGAGCTTTTCGCTCTCCCAGGCTCTCAGAGGGAGGAAGCAAGTTCTTGGGATTTGAATAAGTACAGGCTTATGCTGCCCGAGGGGGAAGCCCTGCCATTAAACATCTGGAAGCCTTGTCCTGGAGCAGAGTGGAGTTTAGAGGTCCCCGGTGTAGAGGGAAGGTCCCCTCTAGGAGATCTTTTCTCTTAGCACTATGGGTTGAATCCAGGGCCTTCACACTAAGCTACATCCCCAGTCCTTACTAAATTATTCTGAGACAAGGTCTCACTAAGTTGCTAAACTGCCCATGCTGGGCTCACGGCCCCCCAGAAGGGCTAGGGGTGGGTGGTAGACATCTGTGCCCAGCGAAGGGTTAATGATTTGAGAAAGGAGCTAGGAAGGGGTGGGTAAAGAAGGAGCAGCCAGATGTCAGAAAAAGGAGTGGGCAAGAGATAGAACTGGGGGGAGCAGGCCGCGTGGGGAGAGGGCAGAGGAGGAAACAGGGCCAGCAAATAAGGGCAGAGTGGGAGCTAAAGGCAGCTGGTATAAGGGTCAGTTACAGGTAAGAGAGTCCCAAAGGGGAGGGACTGAGGGACCCTGAGTCACCCTTTCCTCCTGACTGCTTCCCTGACCAGCGAAAGGTCAGTCTGTATTTTTGCTTGTTTCATTTACTTTGTTTTGATATGGGGGATCGAACTGGCTTGTGAGGTGGGCGGTGGCACCACCGAGCTAAATCCCCAGCCCTGCATTTTTGTTTGTTAATAAAAACAGCCCATAACTTTTGTTAACATAAAGGTGTGTTGTCAAAACAATGTTGTCCCTGGATGGGGTTCAAGGAGGTCACTCTAGGCTCTACCACCAAGCTAATGCAGATAATACAACTGGGGCTACAGGACCACTCCCCTCCACTCCCCTGAAACCGGGCAAAGGCCCAGGATGAACCCCCTGACCTTCATCTTCAGGCCTACTGCCTGGAGGCAGAGATGAGAAACACAAAGACCTGGGCCGGGGATTCAGCTCAGTGGTTCCACCGCCTGCCTCACAAGCACAAGGTCCCAAGTTTGATTCCCAGGGGTATCACCTCTGTGATGAATGCTGGCCTGGTATCTGACCCTATAGAAATGGGGATTCTAAAACAGGGGATGATTTCCCTCCAAAGAAATTGGGCCACCTCAGATGCCTTTCCCATGAGGGTGGGGAAGGCCATTACCCAGTCTGAGAAGGTGCACACACAGACTAACAAGTACTTGTAGACACAGACTCGGGGAAGCTCAGTGAAGTCCACAACCACATTTTCAAACGGGGCTCCCTGAAACTCTGTACACCAGGACCAAGCTTGGGTCCTTGACTTGAATTATCGCAGGTACATATTTTACGTTGCTCACACACTATGGGGGCTATGCTGGAGAGCCTTGGGTCACAGAAATGTTAACATCGGACAGTCTTGAGAGCTGTTCAGCCCATATAAGTGTTCTGATGAGACTTTTTGACAAAAGCTGAAGCTAGGGCCATCTTCACATTTTCAATATCTGCCTGGGAGGTACCTTCCATCCTCGGTCTCAAACCAAGTACTCCTATGTTGTAAGTAATTATGGTCCCATTCTGTCAGTGGACTGGGGAACAGCATGGTGGCCACAGCCACTGATTTTGTCATTCTCCTGGAGGCCTGATCTTGCTTTATGGTTTTCCAAAGTAGCCATGGTATCTCTCTTTCAATGTCCCCAACAGTGCATGACTGTTACTCCTTTAGGGGCCCATTAGGCATCTAAGAGTTTAAGGATTTTTTTTTTTTTGCCATATTTTATGTCTTTTCTTCCTGAGTTTATTAGACCCCTTTCTTTGTATAAAGCCTGATGTATGTGACAGGTGATAAAGGCATATTTAGAGTTGGAGGGCACAAGTTAGTACAATGAGTTCTGCTTTTTGGCAGAGACTTTGCCTCAATGATGCAATTCAGGGTTACCTGATCCTGTAATTTAGAGCCCCTCCAGGTATTTCTGGATGCCAATCTATGCCTTGTAAGAGATGAAATTTGTTTTTGGCAAACTGGCTCTGCCCCTGGCTTTAGCTCTACAATTACTGGAGGTAATGTTTCAAGCTAATCTGGATGGACTGCCTTTAGCCCATACCCCAGGTACTCTGAAGGGAAATGCGGGTCCCTGCTATTAGACACCATTTTTTCCCTTGGGGAATAGTGAGTCATGATTTTTGCATGTGGTTCACACAGAGTCAGGGCGGCCTGTCTGTGGTAGTTGAAAGTTATTTGGGCCTGCAGCTTTCCTAACAGGTCTTGACCCATGAAAGCCACGGGACAGTCGGGAGGTACAAGTATTTGTGCTTCATGGCCACCTAAAATGCATCTTCAGCCAGATGTGGTGGCACACACCTGTAATCCCAGCACTCAGGAGGCTGAGGCAGGAGGATCTCGGTGAGTTCAAGGCCAGCCTGAGCTATGTAGTAAGACTGTCTCCAGTGCATCTTTGTGGCAGCAGGAAAGGGCGGTGTGCTTGGTTGCCTGTGGCCCTAATGATAGTGCCTTGTCTCTGAGAGAGGGGTTCTGGAGTTTGGATCACCAGAGAATGCTCTGTCCCAGTGTTCACCATGAAGTCAGTGGACCAGCCTCTCACATTTATTTGGACCATGGGCTCTTGGGGACCTAACAAAGTTGAGCCTGGTCTTTTCTAGTCTTGCTTATATTTTCCCATGGTGGCCAGTCTTACAAAATCATCCTCTGGTGCCCCATGAGGTCCCTGAGCTGGCTGGTATTGGCCCTAGACTACTTGACCTCTGTCTTCTTATTTGGGGGAGATGGGGAGATTTTTCCAGCCAGGCATTCACTCTTCTATTGTTCATACCAGCAATACTGGGCACATCCACTCTAATCTAGCTTTGTCCCCAGTGGGGTGGCCCTTCTGTCAGCTTCCCCATTGGCCTCTGTAGCAGATTGACTAATGGTCAGCTTGTAACACCCAGCTGAACTGAATCAGTGCGGTCTGGGCATGGAGGATCCACCTGAAGATTGTTACCAATGGCCATAGAAAGAACTGGGGAGGAAGATCTTGGCCTGTTGATTTTCTAGGAGAATCTTGCTGCTGATGGTTTTTCCTGATGTGAACTAGGCTGTTCTCATCAGAGGAGGAGCTCGGGGCCTCGCTATCCCTGGGAATGGCTGCTGCTTTCATCAGTGAAGCTCTGATCTTTACCGTGAGCATCACTTCCTGGCTTCCATGTGGATCCCTCAGCCTGGTGGCACAGATCCTTCATCTCACTAGAGTATATTTTCTGGCTTCCACCACTGGCCTTTGGGCCTTCCAGGTGCAGACCCTCAATACAGACAAGCATGAGACATTGCCATGGGCTCTAGGCCACCGGCTGGACTCGAGGAGGACATTGCCTTGGACTCTAAGCCGTTAGCCGGACTTTGTGGGAAACTGTTGGGATCCAGGCCCTCAGCTGAATGTTTTGGGCTTCTAGTGGGTGGCTAATCTCTTGTGGTCCTAGCATTTGACTCTTCAGGTACTTATCATAAAATGACCTTTAAGTTATGTGTCCTGTATTTAATGTATTCCCTCACCAATCCTGCTGACTACAACAGCCTCCTTGTTGGTCTCTTCATTGGCTTCACTCTTTGCCCTGGACATGTCCTCATGGGGATATCCCAATTGTTCTGCCAGCAAGTCTGTCTTTTTCTTTATCTTGACCATCTCCCCATCAGGCCTCCTGGACTCGGTTGACAAACACCTTTGTGGTAACCTCCAACAGTTGGTTGGCATTTGCTTCGGTGAAACCCTCTAGCTTCTGTAGTTTGCTCCGGATATCTCCCTGGGCTTGGCTAATAAACACATTTATCATCCATTAGTTCTCAGCCACTCCTGGGTCAAAGAGGGTGTACAGGCAGAATATTAACATAGCTTCTTGTAGAAATGACTTGGGCTTTCTTCTGGCCTCTAGAGTACTTTCAAAGTCTTGTTCATGTTTATGGCCCTTTTTCTTCCAGCCTTTAAACCATTAAAGAGGGCTTGCTGGTACCGTTCAATCAGGAGAAGTCCCCCCTCCACAGTCAGGTCCCCCTGGGGATCTTCTCCTGGAAAGTGGTCATAGACGTAAGCCTGGTGCCCAACATTCTTGCTCAGGCATTTTCTAACCCTTATAGAGCAACCTGAGTAACCCGGTGACACTCCTCGGTGTTGAACAGGGTCAGAAAGGATGGTCAGCAATCATCTCTGTGGGCTGGTCAGTCTGCATCATGGACTGCATCAGGTCAATCAGCTCCTGGGATTTCTCTGTGCTTGAAAGGGTATGCTTCTTCCAATTAAGGAGGTCCGTGGTAGTGAAGGGTTGGTGCACTAACACTCATTTGGCTCCCTGGATTTGCCCCTGTTCATTATGTTTTTGTTGTTTTGTTTTGCCCCCACCCACCCATCCCCCGTACCAGGAATCGAGCTCAGGACCTTGCGCTTGCCAGGCAGGAGAGGCGCCACTGAGCTTCATCCCCGGCCCCCTTTTTGTTATAGGAAATAGGTCCTGATGTCTCTGTAAGGTGCCTTAGTAACGCTAAAGGGTTGGGTTGCCAGAGGGGTCCTGTGGATGGGTGCCCACCGGCACGTGAGGGGAAATAATAGGCCACTCGGGGAGGCTGTCATTGGAGGGATCTCCAGGAAGTCCTCAGATGATCCTGAGGAACAGGCAACCTCTGGGGGGCTGCCTGGCTCTGGTAGGGCCTCTGCAGCAGGGGCAGCAAGTGGTGGTGATAGAGGCGCATACAGTGGGGCTTATTCTGGATCTCTGGACAGAATGGAACTGGTCTACTTGACTTTAGCTGACATTTGGAGGTGGCCCTCACCCTAGGCATCTTCACCCTGTAGTTCTCAGTGCTAGCTTTCAGCTAGGGCAGCTGGGAAAGAACCAAGTTTTGCCAACAGTCAATGTGATGAAAGTGGTTGGGGTGACCCAGATCCTCCACAGTGACCCTGAACACTCAGTTCACCAGTTCCTTTTCACCTGAGCCCTCGGAGGGCCGGCCAACTCCAGATGACGGCCAATTTCACAGAATATACAGAGTTTGCTGGGAGTTAGCTCAACACCAGAGTCACCTGAATATTCCTTTCTTAAAAGTCTTTAGCATACACTCTAGGGTATTGTTTGACTGTTTTCCACCCAACTCCCCCTAGTGGACAACTTTCATGCACAAGAGAGGGAAAGGGGTAAGAGAGGAGGAGCTGATAGGGAGGTGTGCATACTTGCTTTGTTTCTCTGGCCGCTCTCCTGGAGGCGTATTTGAGGTGCCTCTTAGCATTGGCAGACTCTCTGGCCTGGACAGACTCTTGAGGAAGTTGGACGCTGCTGTAGGCACATGAGGGCACAACGAACCACAGATCGAGACTTCACATTTGCTTTGGAACCTTTCAAATGCCTGTCTTTCCATCTCCAAACTCGCAGTGACTCCAACCTGCTGCCTACCACCTAGCACCGCCACCTTAGAGTTGAGTTGCGGTTGCAATTTCAATGAAATTTACTTGAGCAACCCTGGGAGGAGAGTCAGCTCCCTTCTGCCTCTTAGGAAGAGCTTTACCAAAATAAACTCTGGCTCGTACCTGTCGCGAGCCGGATTGCCTTGGGCAACTCGGTCTGCGACTACAGGGGGCCTGAACTGGCGACACGCGAGCAAAGAGGCACACACTTGATACACAAGGAGTTTAGTTCCTCATCTCCGGATCTCTACCCCGCTCTCGCCGCGCCCGGAAGGGGTGGCAACATATATACTATAATGCAACCAATCAGCATACAGAGAACAGATTATTACCTTATAAGGATACATCAAACACCCACGGGAACATATCATGTGATCTACAGGAAAACTAAACCTAATACAAAATGGCTTCATAGGCTATATCATAAAATGGCGGAGGGGCGGATCTATGGTTCTCCACAATTCCTCCTTTCCTTTTTAACAAAAGCAGCAATGAAGGCAACGGCAAACGGAGTCGACGTTACATGCCCGCAACATGCTCCTGTTCTTGCGAGAGAATCAGGAAGGTGCCAAAGGGGCCCTGTCTTAGGCGGCCAAGTCACCATAACTCCTTACCCGTCATCAGCAGAAGGGCTTATGTCCCTTGTGCCTGTCTTAGGTTGGTAGGTATGGCCTCGATTCCTTACCCGTCTCTGGGTCCCCCAAGGGCGGAAAACATGAACGTGAGCTCCGTCAGGCGCGACGGGCCTGAGCCAAATAAATGGCTACACGCGGCTCGTCGCCAGCCGAGGCAGCCTCTACTGCCAAGGCCAAACGCTCATAGCGATAACGCCCTCGTTGCCAACAGCGATATACACAGCAGGATCCAATAACAAGCAATAATAACACTCCTAATATTCCTCCCCAGACTAGAAGCCATGAGGGGGAAAACAAGCGTTTCAAATTCTCCCAAGCCTCAGCTAAGAAATCCATATCCAAGGTAACAGGCTTAGCTCGGATGGAGCTCAATACATCTATGGCTAAAGTAAGAGAATTGATATAATTAAGGAAGGTTGAATTCCAGGGACCATGCATATAAGCAGATAACTCTAAAAGCCTTTGGGAATGATTAACAACTGAAAACGGCGTGAGACAGAGATTGACATAACGGGGATCACAGGCCAACCGGCTGTGGGCCCATAGTCCTTCTAATTCTTCCTGTATGAGTTCCACCTCTTCCTGAAGCACAGCAATAGCAGTTCCAAAATGTGGATTAAGCAATCCTTGAATGCGCAGCAACGCCACTGCGGAGGTGATGGCAGACACCAAGGTTATGATGCCAGTGATGATGCCCACCACCACGGCACCTGCCACTCTTTTTCTGCGAGAAGGGGAAGAAATCCGTGCCCAAACAACAGCGGAGAAGTGGTTAGAAGTATTCAAAGGAATCCACACCTGAACGGGAATTTGTAAGACGGCCATAACAAGTTGTCCATGACGAAACACAAAAGATTGATACATTCTTGTCATCTTATGATGCATATAACAATTACAAATACAAAGAACCATCAAAACTACAATGATAACCATCACAAACATGTTACAATAACATTTTTATAATTCAGACCTTAGATAACCAATATAGACTCTTAACAACATATTTAACAAAGCATGTCTTTTTATAAGGCTATGAAAATTATCCTGATGGCTCCCATTAGTGAACAAAGATCAGAATAAATTTTCTGAGCCTCTGCTTCTTTATTTACCAACAGGAGCGTATCCAAACTTAAAGATTATATTATCTTTTAAATTTTTTATTTGATCCTATAAATCCAGATTATAGATATCAATAATCTATTTATATTTGACATCATTTTAATAAAAAAACATACAAACATCTTTGAACATTTAGGACAGACAAACATATAAGACAATTTTAACGAATGCACTCAGATGGTTTTGGCCAATTGAATTATAAGATCTTGTTATGACTAGTCAAGATTTTTGCAAATCAAAATTAACAGAGATCTCTTGTAGAATTAGGGTTAAAGGAATGAAAGCGCTTCTTGAGTGTAAATGTAAACCTTTTTATATGATTTCCGTACACCTTCTCTATATACTTAGGCCTCCTGATTTTGTATATCTTTCTTTAGCTGTTTTTAACGAGATGCAAAAGCATAACTTTTACTTATAGCTTTCCTAATGTTTTTCTTTCTCATTTACTATTAACCTTCTATTTGTGGATATAAAAAATAATCATTTACTATGATAGGCAAAGTATAAAAAGCACATAAGATGGAAAAACAGGAAGAATTAGCTCTTAGGAGGAGCCTTCCCAATCTTTATCTTTAAGGGATTAACAGAGTCTGTAATGACGAAATGCTCCAGGATCCACCACGGTTGATCAGCATCCTGTGGAAAAACAAAAGCAAAAACCCCTTCCCCAACTGGGGGTGCATAACCAATTTAAACTCAAGAGGGTGATGTTCTCTAATTGGCCCTTGGGGTCCCTCTACTTGAACGATGGGGAATAGTCTAAAGATTTCCTCCCCTTGTGCTGCGGCGTGTTTAAGAGCCTCTTGTAAAGGAGATACTATGCCTTGAGACCCTTCAGATGTTATGGGGTCTTTACCATTGGGCTCATTTGGGCCCTGGCGGATATTGCTCAGGCTGCTACTTAGATCACCTAAAAGAATGTAAAAGGAAAGCAAAAGTTCACATGGAGTTATATTTCTCCTTTAATTTGAACATCCTATAATATGCATACATTTGAAGGATTTTTAAACTGATATTTGTAGTAGTCAAAAATATTTATTTTTAAAAACTGAGATGGATAATAACCTCCCACTAATAAGGTTGCTCATTGTAGAAAAAGCAGCGATGTGGTCACATGACTCAGAGTTTGTCGCGAGCCAGTTTGCCTTGGGCAACTCGGTCTGCGGCTACAGGGGCCTGAACTGGCGACGCGTGAGCAAAGAGGCACACACTTGATACACAAGGAGTTTACTTTAGTTCCTCATCTCCGGATCTCTACCCCGATCTCTCTCTCTATATATAGGCCTTGTGGGCCCTGCAACTCAAAAACAGGGAAGAGTCGCTGGACTTCCTCAGTGCTCTCTTTGTTATCCAAGGCATTCTGTAAGCACCGTTCTAATAGACTTCTTTTCTTCTTTTCTGACTTAATGATAGAGAGGCGAAGCACCCTTCTACCAGAGTAGTAGAGAAGTCTCCTGCGTGGCCGTATCCGGGGGGAAATTTCTCTTTACAAAATGGCCCCGAAGGCAGGTTCTCCTCATATAGAGGAGGGGCAGTAGGCGGAGCTGAAAGAGGAAGTGCAGAGGCGGGCAGCGCAGGATAACGACAGCAAGAAGAAACCGGAAGAGGAGCTTCCGAAAGACTTGTTGCTGCAGCCTCCGCCATGTTGTCTCTCTCTATATTGCTCTTTTTCCCTTCAGATGCCTGCGAGCATGTACTACGTCTTTCCTTTTCCTCAGAGAGATGTTCCTCAACTTCATTAAGCGCTTGTTGGATTTCCTTGGGGGGTCCATGACCTAGAGCTGCCGATATCATGGCCCAAAATGAAAAAACATTTTCTGGATATCTATCTGGAGTTTCAGCTAATGCTTTGGTTATCTGTTTACCTACTCTTTGCCAAACTTCGTCATCTATGGTTTCTTCATCCCTTAACCAGGGACAGATAACATCCATCGTGCCTACGAAGGATGCAATTTGAATCTTGCTTGCCTTAACTCCTTGCATCTGTAAAATTTTCTGGATGGCGTGGGTAATAGAGTCCGTAGATGGACCTTGTCCCATTCTTTCTGTTTTCTATAAACACGAGCAAGCGAGAGTAATCAACCTTCCTGGTTGCCTTTACTTACCACTGCGTGGATCAGGCGCAGCCGCTGCTCCGACGCATTGCCGTCCCTCTTAACCCGAGGCGACCTGGGTCCGTTTCACTTTGCCCACGAAAAGTGCCGAGTCCAGGTCCCTGTTCGGGCACCACCTGTCGCGAGCCGGATTGCCTTGGGCAACTCGGTCTGCGACTACAGGGGGCCTGAACTGGTGACGCGTGAGCAAAGAGGCACACACTTGATACACAAGGAGTTTACTTTAGTTCCTCATCTCCGGATCTCTACCCTGCTCTCACCGCGCCCGGAAGGGGTGGCAACATATATACCATAATGCAACCAATCAGCATACAGAGAACAGATTATTACCTTATAAGGACACATCAAACACCCACGGAAACATATCATGTGATCTACAGGAAAACTAAACCTAATACAAAATGGCTTCATAGGCTATATCATAAAATGGCGGAGGGGCGGATCTATGGTTCTCCACAGTACCAGTCTGGCAGACGGCAACTCCCTAAGCTTGTACCTGGGCCTCCTTAGACTCCGTTGTGCATGTGAGGCCCCTCACCCTGGTATGCCGCAAGGGACACCACGAGGGGCTTGTCTCCTGCAGGCCACATGGTCCACGGGTATCAGGCGAGCTCGTCTCTCCTGGTCCCCTGTGGTTTATGGCTGAGTGACAAGGGAGGTGACGCACAGCCTCCACATCCTGGATAAGCCCCCAAGAAACGTAGCAGGATTCTCAAATAGACAGACCTGACACCAAGGCTCCTTCTAGGAAGGGGCATTTGTTCATGCCGACACTAACTCAGCGGATTCATGTCTAAAGACTGAGCCCCAAGCACGGCCGAGTTTCGCCTTTTACACAATTTTTGCATCTTTGTTTCTCTTAAATGGCATTACGCTAACAAACTATAGCTAGGCTGGGTACAATCTATGTTAAAGAGCCATGCTAGGGCTAGGGATTTAGCTCAATGGTTCCACTGCCTGCCTCACAAGTACAAGGTCGGGAGTTCAATCGCTGGTACAAAAAAAAAAAAAAAAAAGTACTATAGAGCCATGCTAGAACTGAACATATATGTACACAGGAACTAATTATGCCAGTTGTCTTTCTTTGTTCTGAGAAGGCCTGCATATCTTTGGGAGGGGCCTGGCCATTCCTTCAAGGGAGTGTCTTGCCGCTGGGCATGGTGGTGCACACCTGTAATTCCAGCACTTGGGAGGCTGAGGCAGGAGGATTGCTGTTAGTTCAAGACGAGCCTGGGCTATAAAGTGAGTTCCAGGTCAGTCTCAACTATATAGCGAGACCCTGTCTTGAAAAACAAAACAAAAAACAACAAGGGGAGTCTTGCCATACCATCACCTAATTGAACTTCATTAAACTTTGCTGCTTTTTCCTTAGTGTCTCCTGCCAAACCCATTTCTCTGTTCCTCAAGCACAAGAACCTAGAAACCTGTCCCTTCATCCCTGGCAACCTCGCTGTTTCCCCAGCTGAAACAGCTGCCTGTAAAGAGGACTTAGGGACCTCCACTTGGCCTGGGCAGGTCCTTAAATGTCATCACAGAAAAACATTTCAGAACGTGTCGCTGAGAGAGAGACACAGGCGATTTTTGAGGTACAGTACAAAAGAAGGGAAAATGGGAGAGACCAGCGGAAGGTGCTGAAGAGGGCAGGGCCTTGATGGAGATCGCACTGGCCCCGCAACGAAGGATCAGGAGCAGGGTCTGGTTAATCATTATCTCAGTTCTGACTCTGCAAGACGGCACTGAGAGAAGTCCTTGTCCCTTAATCCAGGCTCATGAGATGCTGCTCTGCCTTCGGGGAGTCTCGGGTTTGCCAGAATCTAAGATGGATGTGGGTTTAGGACAGCGACAGTAAACTTCGGGGCACTCGTGGGTAACTGAAAGTCTCTATAAATCTCTTACCTTGGTACCCTCGGTCCTGCAGGGGGTGAGATCGGTTATGTAAATTGAGGTCTAATCAGCCTTTTGTGGTCAGTTTTTAGACAGATGCTCCCTGAACGATGAACATGGTGAACTGCAGAGCTGAGTAGGGACTTGACCCAGTCTTAAGATAATGAAGGAGACAGACAAAAAGGTCAAGCTTTGTTGTTTTTAGGTGCCCACTGAGCCCCTCTAGGCCCAAGTAAACAGTCACTGTTTTTTGTTTTTTGTTGTTGTTGTTGTTTTTTTTTTTTTTAGCAAAATCAGCTTTTAACCCTTGAGCGCTTCAGAAGAAAACACACATCATGCTTTTAAAGAATAACAGGTTCATAGCCTGGGGACTTGCATGTCGTCTGTCCCTTTGCGTGTGTGACCTCCTTATATTCTTTTTTTTCTCTTTCTCTCTCCCTCCCTTCCTTCCTTCCTTTCTTTTTGAGGCAGGGTTTCAATATGTAGTTCAGGCTTCCCTTGAATTCACTATGTAGCCCAGGCTGGTCTTGAACTCATAGCAATCCTCCTGCCTCAGCCTCCAGAGTGCTGAGATTACATGTGTGTGCCACCATATTCCATACTTTTAAAGGACAGTAGGCCCCAAGTTAGGGCCCAGGAGTTCTCTGGCCCTTGTCCCAGTATCTCAATATGATTGTGTATTTTAAAACTGTACTGCCAGCAAAGGACACACATAGGCACACACGCGCGCACACACACACAGCCTTTTCACGAACGTGTCTCTCCTACACCATTGCTAGTTGGAGACATCGTGGAGTGAAATAAGGCCATCTCTCCTTTCTGCTGCTGTCTGCTGCACTCTTTTTGGGGTGGCTCGTCGGCTCCTCCCATTCACAAATCACCCCAACCAAGAAGCAGCAGCCCCCAATTCTCCAAAGCCCAGGCAGCTAGGCAAGGGGTCCCTTGGTGAGGCGACAGGGACAGATCCAGGAAGCATGGCTAGTCCTGCTCAGGGGAAGCGGCAGATAGGCTGTGTCCTGAGCAGGCAGGAAACTACAGACTCTCAGCCTGAACTACTGTCCGGAAACTACAGTGTGAGGACAGGGGAGGAGGCTCTGCCACGGTCCCACAGAGCCTGCTGCCTCCCTGCCTTGCTGCTTCTTTCGCAGGGAGCTATTTATAGAATCAGCTGTGCGTCACTGGTGAGTCACCCTACGAATCAGCTCCTGGAAGGCAGAAGGGGCCCCGGTCTGGGACATGAGGCTCTGCTGGTGCCCCTGGCTGACCTAACACCCTGCTCCAGCCCTTGGGCCTGGGAAGGAGGAACTTGATCTGTAGAGGGTGGGCTCCTCCCTCCCAGGTCCACTTCCAGCCTAATCTCACCTGGCTGTCCCAGCAGGACGGTGCTTGGGGAGGAAGGGAGGACCAGCGGGAGGCGCTGAGGTCAGAGGCCAGAACGCTGAACCCCAGGTGGAGACCAGCTGAGCCCTAGGCGACCTCACCTCACACCCGCCTCCCCCGATTGTAGCCCAAATCGCACCCTTGCTTTCCAAGGTCACCATACATAGGGGAAAAAACAAACTGGAGAATAATTTATTGAGTGAAGGGATAAATATATGGGCAAGGTTACAAATAACTGTAAAAATCATGAACACGTTCTGTACACGCAAGAGGCACCGAGCACGGTGTGGGCGTGGCCTTCCCAGATCCCTGCGGACCGCGGGCGCCCCCAAGAGGTAGGTAGTGTATTTACAACGGAAGAAGCCTCCGTGGACTCAGGAATTCTGAGGCCCTAGGAGGGCCCGGCCCCCTGGGCGCCTGTGCCACGCGCCTTGTGCCCATGGAGCTGAGCCCAGCGCACGACCCTCTGTACCCAGGAGCGGTGGACGAGAAGGCTGGTGTAGACGCCCGGCCGGTTGCGCTCTGCACAGCCCTCGCCCCAGCTGATGATGCCGGCCAGCAGCCAGGCACCATTGACCCGGCACATCAGGGGACCCCCGGAGTCGCCCTGAGGAGGGAAGAGAAAGTTAGACACCTGGGTGGGGCGGGCAGAGGACAGAGGCCCCCACCGGGGACTCAAGTCTCCAAGAAACACACACCTTCCAGACCCACCGAGCAGCCCTCCCTCATGGGCCTGTGGAGCTGGGTGTCTGTTTCTATTGCACTGGGGAGAAAATCGAGGCTCAGGGAAGAAACGACTTGCCCCCGCTGGCAGCACGGGCCTCACCCTGACCACTACCCCACCACGCCACCCTCAGCTGCAGCTGGTTCTGGGGACCCCACGTGAGCGGCACGGCTGTATACCACAGGACACAGTGGACGTGTACCCCAGTACATGAGTGGGGAGCCAGGCCGAGGTGGGCCGTCCCGTGGGCAGGACGGGCAGGGGCTGGCTGCTCACCATGCAGGCATCCCGCTTCCCCTCCAGGTAGCCAGCACACAGCATGTCCTCCGTGATGGCGTCCTGCCCTGCTCCACGCCAGTACAAGCGGCTGCAGACCTCAGAGTCAATGATGGGCACCTTCAGCTTCTGCAGAGTCTGTGGGTAAGGCAGCGGCACTGGAAACGGGAGAGAGTCAGAACGGGCCCTCCAAGCCCTCCTCAAAGGCCTAGGGCCCTCCTTGCCCTTCCACGGTATTTCTCAAAGACCAGAGGATCAGCCCTCCCGTGATGCTTTCCGGAAGCCCAAGTTCCAGATTTCTGCATCTGGACCTACTGATTCCAACATGCACGTGCAGCCCGGACTCTGGTGGCGGTGTTTAGGTTCGGGTTTTGGGTTTTTTTTGGGGGAGGGTTGTTTTTGCTTTTGTGTGGTTTTGTTTTGCTTTGTTTTGGGTACTAGGGATTGAATCCAGAGCCTTCACACTGATCTGTAACCCTAGCTCTTTTGTATTTTGAGACAGGGTCTTGCTGAAGACTGGAATTAGAGGGGTGCCGCTGCGGCTGGCTCAGATCCTGTATCTTTATTAAGCTGATGCCCATGAGATTGCCAAGCAGACAACCTGCGTTTCCTGCCCTGGAGGCTACTTGGTCCAGCCCGAGAACTGTAGTGTTTGGTAAATGTCCCCTCGGTGCTGAATATCTTCAGGACACGCAGGAAAACACACGCTCACACTCCTAGGATTAGTCTAGAGCTACCATGGGGAGGCTGCAAGCTCAGATCCCTGCATCCTCTCACATCTGACCCAGTATCATTTCTGCTATTGCATCTGGGCTCTGTGGAGGTTCTTAGCCTCATCACATTTCCGTCTCCCTCAAACTGTCTCCAGGCCTTTACGGTGTCATTTTTTTAATTACACCTTTCTGCCTGTTTCTTTTTCTTGGCCCAGACTCTGTCTACCCATCATGTATCTTTCTTCTTACTTGTCCTCTGCCCCTTGCTTTACTTCAACTGGTTTTGTGTTCCTAGATAATGATTTCCAAACCTACAGACCTGGTTTGATTGGTTTTTTGTTTGTTTGTTTGTTTGTTTGTTTGTGTTTGTTTGGTTTGGTTTTTTGAGACAGGGTCTCAATATGCAATTCAGGATGGCCTTGAATTCACTGTGTAGCCCAGGCTGGCCTTGAACTCACAGCGATCCTCCTGCCTCGGCCTACCAAGTGCTGAGATTACAGGTGTGCGCCACCACACCGGCTCGGTTTGAAAATTATACTTTACAATACAGGAAACTTGTTTCCTCCTGGGAACTCTGCCTGCAAATGTGGGTGCTGCCAGCAGAGGGGGTGGCTTGCTCCCACTGTGAAGTCTTAAGGCTGATTTGGCCTCCCGCTGGCCTTAGCCTGGTGCCACACCAGCCTCCTAACAGCCATTCCTGGGTCAGTGATTAGCTTTGTCTATCTGGCTAGCTGAAACATAGCTGAAGATATTTCTAAACTTAGAAATGACCCAAAAGTGGCTGCCTGGGTTTCTGTGACTCTGCACCTACAGATCAAAGCCATCTTTCCTGTCTCTGCCATGCTGGGCCTCTGGCAGCTGTCTCCTCCTGCTAGTGGTACCTGTGTCTCTGCTGTCACCCCTCCATCCCTAACGGTCCCTACCCTCACCCTGAAGCAGGAGGAGCTCACCTCCATCACTGATGCTGCCCCAGCCTGCAATCCAGCAGCTGGTGTTGGGAGGGAGCTGCACAGAGAAGTCAGGCAGACAGATAGGCAGGACTCGCTCCGAGAACTGAATGGTGTGTTTGAGACGCACCAGGGCGATATCAGCTCTGGCTGCTTCCTTCCAGGAGTACCCGGGGTGGGGCAGCACCCAGGCGATGCCCACCTGCTGGGACCGGGGACCCGGGTTCTGCAGTTGCCAGGCCCCTAGCAGCACAGAGAACAGATCCAGCTGGTCCAGGTCACTGGAAGGAAGGGAAGTGGGGTCAGCCAACGTAAGTCTGAAGAAGTCAAGAGCACCAGGAAGGACATGAGGCCTGTGCAGGGGTCGGGGAGGTGTCTCTAAGAGGGCACCAGGCTGAGACAGACCTGGGGCTGGGGCAGTGCTGGGCTCTGAGGACCCGGGACAGCCCAGGCACACGTACCCCTTGAAACAGTGAGCGGCGGTGACCACCCAGCGGCTGGTCAGCAAGGAGCCTGCGCAGTGGTGGGTGCCGTTCTTCTGGATGCTCACGACCCAAGGCCACTTGGCATCCATGCTGTCCTCCCCACCCACGATCCGGCTCAGCTGCTGGGGCTTCCCACAGTCTGGGGCCACTGGCAGAGGGGGTTTTCTGTCACTGAAGGCGTAAGTGTCTCCCACCTGCCTGCAGCTCACCCCAGACCCTCAGCCCTGTTCTGCTCTGCGGCCTCCCCTCGCCCTCTGGAGCCCTCTCTCTGCTGGCCCTCAGGGGTCTTCCCCACCCGCTTCCTTAGCGCTCCTCTCGGGCCTGTCTGCCCACTCTCTCCTGCTCTGCCCCCTCTCACCCCGAGCCTGTCCTCACACAGACACACGGACCTCGCCTGCCTTTAGGTGCCCACCCTGAACCCCCCAGGCCAGGCTCCCACTCACCAGGGATCTTGGCAGTGTTGAGGGAGGCTGAGGAAAACAGAGAGGAACCAAGTCAGGCCGGCCGCGCAGGAGCCCCTACCCCCAAGCAGGATGTGGGCCCAGAGCTGCAGAACCTCAACCCTCCCTGCGCAGAGGAGGCCTCCCCTTCCACCGGAGAGCGACCAGGGACAGGAGAGTAGAGAGAGTGAGGTACAGGACCCTCAGACCCAGGCCTCGGCTTTCTCTCCCAGCTCCGTGAAACCTGGACAGGGCTGTCCCAGAGCACAGCCGACCGGCCACACGGAGGGGCGAGGGGAGATGGGGGAGAAACAAGAGGAGGACTCAGGGCTGGTAACGAAAGTGTGAGGAGGAAGGACGCTGGGCATTCGCCTGTGCTCGTCGCTAGCCCTCACGGAGGAAGGGGGAAACTGAGGTACTAAATAACACGCCAGGAAGTGGGGGGGAGCGACAGAGAGAAAATCCAAAGAAAAAGTGAGGAGAGAGCGTCGGGGCAGACACATTCTAGGCGAGGTCCAGAGGGACAAACGCAGAGCTGCAGGGAGAGAGGAGGTGACCCTCGAGGGAAGAGGGCAGCGGAGGGGAGGGAGCAGCAAAGGGTCCCGGAAACTCACCCGTGGAAACCAAAAACAGCAGGGGGATGAGGCTCCCGAGACAGCCCCCACCCAGGGCTCGGAGGGATCTGGAAACCGCCATGCGGGGGGAGCTGGCCCAGCCAGTGATCTGGAGGAACAACAATCCTGAGGGAACGGAGGCTGCGCTGGTGGAGACTGGCAGGAGGGCAGGCGGGGAGACTGCAGTGGGCAGAGTCCCCGAAGGTCACCCCAGGTTTTATCCCGGCAGGCGGAATGCTGTTGGACCGGTCTCCCAGGTGGCTCAGTCTGGGCCACCCAGGCTGTGGGTCAGGAAGTAGGGGAGGAAGTAGCCGTTACAGGGACTGGGGGCTCTGTGCCGCGGAGGGCGCAAGCCGGGCTGAGGGGGAGCCAGTCTGGAGTACCTGAGGTTTATACCAGGTGTTGGGGGCTGGCAGGAGGCACTAGTTCAGGGACAGCCCCCACCTGCAGGGGCCACATTGCTGGGACTCAGGTTGGGATGGACTGGGCCCAACCTGGGGCTCTGGAATCCCGTTAACCCACTTCCCAGAAAGCTGTGACTCAGAATGAGTGGCCACACACAATGGTTCCTGGGCTGATGGCCCAGCCAGCCCGGGGCACCTTCCTGTTGTCCCCGGGAGGCCCAGAGGACCCACTCCTCACCTGGACTCCTGAGAAGGGGAGGAGGCTAGTAGCCACCTGGGCGGGTACTCTGAGGGCTGAGGCTGCGATCCCCCATGTCCTGGGACCCCAGGAAGAGCTGGGGTCCAGGCTGCCCTGTGGAGCTGGGTAGGGATGGGTGCCAGTCTCCCTGATTCACACCCTGCACTCCCAACACCCCTACCCCAACCAGGAGCAGGTGTCACCTCCCAGACCTGCAACTCTCCATCCATTCCTGCCGAAAAAAATGTCACACCGCCACTTAGGAGGGTGTAGTGCGCCCTGCAGGTTCCCTAAGCATCCCCACGCTGCAGGCAGGAAACTGAGGTAGCTTGGGAAGGCTGAGGTGAGAGGTCGAGCCTGTGTTTGACCTTGATCATGGAGTCATTGCTGTTGGGCCTAGACTCAAAGGACCTCAGACCCACAGGCAAGTCACTGTTGTTGTCCATGGCCTCAAGGCCTGGGGGAGGAAGCAGAGAAGGCACCAGAAAAGCTGCCAGGGGGCCGGGGATTTAGCTCAGTGGTGCCGCCGCCTGCCTCACAAGCGCAAGGTCCCACATTGGATCCCTGGTACCAAAAAAGAAAAAAAAAAAAAGCTTCCAGGAAGTAGAGGCCATGGACACCCAGCCTGAGACCAAGCCAGAAGTTGTGGGAACATCGCCCAGGGTGAAGGGGAGATGGGGCCAGAGGCTGAGAGAAAGAAGGGACCGCTAAGCCCAGCCCAACACCCTTTAAGGCCAGGGCATTCTGGAGCTCCATGCTTGGGACCCCTACGCCGCCCACCCTCTCTGTCCCAAGGGGCCAGGCAGGGTGAGGACCCCCACGGCAGCCTTCCCCATACTGTGAGGAGGCAAAGGCTCCTGCTTGTGCAGCAGGCAGCTCCAGGTCACACCGCAAGCTGACGGCCCCACCACCCAGCGCCACGGGAGCCCCCGATGCTGCCTTATCCTCTGTCCAGGATTCCGGGTGGCACTGCAGGAAAGCACCACGCTGAGAGGCCAAGGTGAGGTCCCCGTGGCATGGGAGCAGAAACCCCCATCGCTCCTTGTCCGGGACGGCCTCTCTCTGCACTCTGCCGTGCCTCCATGCTCCTCCAACCCTTTGGGATGAAGGGGATCGGCCTCCCCAGTCCCCTCCACACTCTGTGGGCACCTGCCGTAGACACGAGCTGTGCTGGGCGCCGGGACACAGGCTCTGTGCGGACGAAGCTCACATCTTCCCCAGGAGAAAGGCGGGCGACTGCAGTGAGTGACCTGTCCTGGAGGTGGCGCAGCAATGGGATGGGGAGTCCTAGCGGCCACTCTGTGCCCCGGTCCGGGTGCTGTGTGGCTCTGAGCCGCAGAGGGTGTGAAAGGGGCATTTCCGGTGACCCTCGGGACTGAAGTCCCCTGCACACGGGGACTCAGCGATGTTTTTAAATGGATAAATAAATGTGGAAAACATGCATACGGGGGTGTCCTCTTCTTTCTGCTCTCCTCAGTTTCCTCTCCACTCCTAATCCTTGACCCATCCCCTGGGGACCCAGGGGGCAGGCCTGGGCCCCAAAATGTGGCAACCCTCCAGATAAGGGGGCCAGGAAGAAGAGCCAAGGAGAAGGGTCCTGGAGCAGCTGGAGGAGCCCTGAGAAGAACCCCAGAGACCAGTTCCTCAATTCCCAGGGTGTGGAAGGCACAGTCCCCAAAGGCTGGGGGTGGAGACCCCAGGATGACTCAACACTCATTCAGAGAAATGTTTACGAGCACCTACCACGTGGCCAGCTCACACCAGCACCCTGGCTGGGCATCGGTCCACGGTGCACGAGGTGGATGAGCTGCCCACCCCCGCCACCCACACAGTTTCCCCACCAGCCTGGCCAAGGTCCTGATGACGGATGCAGCCGCGGGCACTTACACGCTGATGGCCCAGAGGTGGCACCGCCTACGCCGGAGAAGTGACTCACTACAGCGGTGGTTCAGATGCGGGCCCAGGAGCCTGGTCATATTTTGAACAAGGGCATCTATTCATTATCTAATCAAAGGCCACCGGGCTCCACCTACTCCTGCAGGAGATGTCACTTAGGCCTGGAATAATCAAAGAAAATGAGGGGACTCCTTGCTGTCATTAAATTAGTCAAGAAGTATTACTGAGCACCTACTGTGTGCTGGGCACTGTCCTGAGCTGAAGAGACACTGTGGTGAACAAACCAAGGACACTGGATGAGACGATTTTAAAAACAAGTAAACCAGGCCGGATATGACGGCACATACCTGTAATCCCAGAGTTTGGGAGGCTGAGGCAGGAGGACTGCCACAAGTTCAAGTCCGAGCCAGACAAGTCAGTGACTTAGTGAGATCCTATCTCAAAATAAAAACCAGGGCTGGGGATTTAGCTCAGTGGTTCCGATGCCTGCCTCTCAAGCACAAGGTCCTGAGTTTGATGCCCAGTACAAAACAAAACCAAACCAAAGGGCCTGGGAATGTAGCTCAGTATAAAGGCTCTGCTTTCAATCACCATTAAAAAAACAAAAACAAAAAGCTCACTGCAGAGGCCAAGGATGAAACAAAAGGACAGTCATGCCAAGGAGAAGCAGTGGGGGAGGGAAGTGGGGTGGGTAGAGGGGTTCTTTCTAGATCTTTCTCTAAGGGGAGATCTGGGAGACATCGGGCTTGAGGAAAACTAGAGTCCAGAGCAGGGGTGGGTCTACTGCCTTGGGCTGCTGAAGTCAAAGGCCACATGGGCAGTGACCCCTGCAGACACCCGCGCCTCACTTATGGGTCCAGCCCCAAAGACTCATCCTTAATGTGAAGGAGATGAGAACCAGGACAACAGAGAGGTGCAGGCAGCCGGGGATCTACCTGGAGAAAACATTCCAGAAGAAGGGAGGCCCTAGAGGCTCCGAGATGGGGCATAGGGCCAGGATACTCAGATGTAGCCACCAGCCAGCAAGGTCCCCATGGGCCCCGGAAAGGAGCCTCTGTCCTGGGCCAGGGAAGCACCAGTGGCTCTAAGTGCTGGAGTCTGACGTGGATTGGAGTCATAAAAAGGGACGAGATGGGTGTGGAGGGCAGGGTCGTGTCCAGGGCGATGCTGAGGCAAGGACTTCTCAGGGACCCTGGAAATGCAGCCAAGTAGCCGGCCAGTGCCAATGAACAAGCTGTTCTAGTTTTCCCGGAACAGATGGGCTTCTCAGGACAAGGGACTCTCGGCTCTCAAAGGAGGACATTCTCAGGCAAACCAAGAGAGATGCCTAGGTGTTGCCTCTGTCCCGAACCCCACATGACAGGCTCCCCTTCATGGCAACCCAGGAGAGGCAGGCGGAGCATCTGAGGTCCAGTCCCACAGCTGGGGATTTGGGGGATGGGGCATGGAAGTGACCTGGATCCCCTACAAGAGGGTCACTAATGGGAGAGCCATGTAGGGACACGGAAGCGGGCAGTGTGGAACTGGCCCTCTCTTCTGCAGCTAGACACTCATAAAATTCTGCACTGGCCAGGAGGTGTGAGCTGTGTCTTCTGCAAGGAAAGGTGCGTCACGGCAGGCTGGTGGCAGAGGCGCAGCAGCCGGGAAGCGGAACCCTGGGTGGGAACTGGGTTTGAATTCTGGGCAAGTTGTTTGGCTGCCGGGAGCCTCCGTTTCCTCGTTAGGTCTGGGAGTTTGTTCTAAGGATAGGGACAGACCAAGTGTGAGTCCAGGCCTCCAGCGGGCCTCCTGGTCTTCTTTTAAATTTAAAATTTTTAATCTTTAGTTTTTTTGGCAGTTCTGGGGATAGAACCCAGGGCCTTGAGCACACTGCTGAGCTACACCCCAGCCCTGATTTGGGAGTTTTTAGTTCATTTGGTTTTTAGTTCCTCATTTTACAAGTATAAATTTTGAGCGATGCCTGCAGCAGCACTTTTACAGCTGCCCAAAGTGGAAGCGACCTGTGTCTAGGAAGAGGGTCCACGATGCGTAGCCCCACACGATGGAGTAGTACTCAGGCGTGAAAAGGGATGGAATGGGGAAGAACAGCCACAAAGCAACAAGTACCACACGACGCACCTACGTAAGGCACCTGGAGCGGTCAAGCTCACGGAGCAGAGGGAAGGGTGGGTGCCGGGCAGGGGAAAACAGGGTATTTGTGCCTGGAGGGTACAGGGCTGTGGTTTGAGGACCACACACAGCAGGAGGGTGACGGACGCCGCTGAAATGCACACCTAACAAAATGAAGACCGAAACGGTGACGCTCACGTTACATATATTTCATTATAACTAAAAGGAAGCTGGGTTCCCCTTCTCTTAATGGTAAATAGGCAGCTCTGGGCCCACGGGGAAGAGGGGCCCTCTACGGCAGCACAGTCCTCATACCCGCCCCATTCGGTGACCCTGGCCACTGCTCCGGTCCAGCTGGTCCTAGGGCAACCTGACTTGTTGTTTTCATTTGAGTACTGGAATCCTGGCCTTTGCACTGAGCTACATTCTCGTTTTTTTTTTTTTTTTTTTTTTTTTTTTTTTTTTTTTTTTTTTTTTTTTTTTTTTTTTTTTTTTTTTTTTTTTTTTTTTTTTTTTTTTTTTTTTTTTTTTGAGACTTCAGTCTTTCTAAATTGCCAGGCTGGACTCAAATTTAGGATCCTCCTGCCTCAGTCTCCCAGAGTGCTGGGACTACAGGTGTGCACCAGCATGCCTGGCTGCACCTGAGTTGGTTTATTTTTTTCAAGTTCAGGATAATGTGCAGACGTCCTAACAAGGTCTGAGGGAGGAACATCACATGTGTATGTCATGAAAACCCAATCACCCCGCTCATGAGCCGAGGGCAGGCACCTGAGGTTTCCACTCTGCTCTCAAAGGGCAGGGCCTGGGAGGGAACACTCTCTGCATCCCAGGCGCCGCCTTAGGCACCTTAGGTCCCTGCCTTAGGTGATTTGAGTTAAGGTGATTCCAGCTGTCTGACTGGAACTGAAAGAAGCCATAACTCCCCAACTCCGTGGATCCTCACAAGGCTAATGCCTTCCCGCAATACAGAGTACGGTGCGTACTTGTAGACTAAGACCTTCAGACCTCTTTTTAAGGGGCACTTACACCTGCTTCCTTGAATTTTCCTTCCCTTCCTGGAGTGCTGTCCTGAGTTTTGTTTACAGCCTTTCTGCCCTCAGATGGACCCTGGATTGCTGTGAAGTGCTTCACATTTGCCACACCGACTCTCGTGGATCTCTTACAAACGTACCCTACCAGGCTGGACTGGGAGTCTGAACTCCCGTCCCCGACTCCCATTTCCACCCTGTCCTCTTCCTCGGGTTGATGGAAAACTTCTCACATGGCCACCACACAGGACTTTCCTCCTCTCAGATGACTTGGTGCCTTCAGATCCTTACAGGAGGTTTGGGCCCCCCTCGCTGTATCCTTTCGATGACGTGGTTATGAACGGCTACCAAGAGCTGACAGTTAAATTTTCAAAGATTTTGGAAATTGGGAACGGTTGGCATTCCGGTCATGCCGGTGGGATGGAAATCAGCAAATGCTGCCCACTGGTCGCCACCGCGCACACCAGCGCAGCCCGAACCTCACCCACCACAGCAGTAGCAGGTGCTAATATCAGATTAGCAATCAAGCATCCCCTCTCCGGCCAGCCGGGTGGGGGAGGGTCTGCCTAAACCGGAAAGGACAGGAGCAAGGCCAGAGCGGCCTCAGGGAAACCTGGGAGGTGGCATCACAGGGCCAGAATTCGGGACGCCCGCCTCTCAGTGCCCTTGACCAGCTCTTCACGCTCGCCATGACTCACGGTGACTCACAGGACAGGAGGCGGGATCTTGAGATCAGAGGTCACGGGCCAGGGCTGTGTCCCCCTCCCAGAATGGCAGAAGAGACGGGCCACACTGGGGTGCTGGGCCAGAGTGAGAGGCTCCACTTTCATTCCGGAGGAGAGCTGGGCACAGAGCTGGGCCTGCAGATCTCTGCCTTCGGGGCGCCTCTGAGCTGTGACCCAGCCCCAGGGTGACTGGGGCCTCCACGTCGCGCCTGCTGGAGAGGAAGCAGAGGAAGCAGGAGAAACCAGCTTGGGCCGCCTGCACAGGGCGGGGAGCACTTCCCACGGCCTTCCCTCTCCCCCTCTTCCCTCCAGGGAGATCAGTGACTCTGCTAATTGCTGCTAATGAGCCGGAGGCCCTCGGAGGGTGGTTGTTTCTCCCAAGGGAGGCGGACCGTGCCTGGGCGGAGAGGGGCAGATGTGCACCGAGCCAGCTGGCAGGTGCCACTGGGTCACCGCTGCGTGTCGCCCCCCACTTCCACCCTGGAGCCGTCCCTTCAGGTCGTGACCGGTGCCCTGGGGACTTGGACAGGCATCTCAAGCTAGGAGCTCAGGGAGTGTCTCACACCCTGACCCTGTTCCAGGTTTCCGCAGCTCAGGAAGTGTCGCCACCGCCCCCCAGCCAGCCTCCAGCCCAGGAGTCAGGCTTTAGTCATTTTCTTCCTCCCTCCCACCCACCTCCTCTCGGGACTCAGGAAGCTGCAGACTGGAACAGGCCCCCAGGTCCAGGCGCTTCCTTCTCTCCACAGCACAGCCCTGTCAGCTAAGACAGACCCCGAACAGACTCCTGCAATCTCTGGTCTGCACAGCTCTCAGATGCTGAACACAAATTAGATCTTGGCACATCTCGGCTGAAAACTCTAACAGTTTCCACCGTCACCGCTCCCAGGGTGCGGGCCCTGTTAGTCTCTGATTAGAGGTGTCTGATTAGAAACCAGCAAGGCGCAGAGAGACAGAAGTTAATGGGCAGGAAACCATAGTAAAGCAAACAATTCTTCACAGAAATGAAATCTGCACCCCACAGCAGGTAGTGCCAGCTTTGCCTCCACCAGCAAGTTCCTATGTTTTCCATGGGATGCTTTGAGGGCTCAAAAGAATGCACTGCTGTCGGGAATGATGGCAAACACTTGTAATCCCAGCACTCAAGAGGCTGAGGCAGGAGGATTGCCAGGAGGAGTGAGGCCAGCCTGGGCTACATAGTGAGTTCAAGGCCAGCCTGCACCACAAAGGAGACCCCATCTCAAAAAACAAAAAAACAATAAGCAAACAAAACCCATTGCAGTATCTTTACTGATTCCCTCATAACTGATAAATAGCATCTTGGAGATGATTTTAGGAAAGCACAGTTCTGCCTTCTGGGGAAAATTATCCTTTAAGTACTAGGAGCCTGTTCATCTCTCTCATTAAAGCTGTTAAAATATGCTTATTTTTTCATAAGCTGGCTTCACAGCCCACAGGCTCCTTGCTTTTTTGGGTACCAGGAATCAAACTCAGGACCTTGTGCTGAACAGGCAGGCGGCGGAGCCACTGAGTCAAATCCCCGGCCCTGAGACAGTGTGAATTCATCTGAAACGGACAAAGGAAGTGTGAGGTATCCTTTCAAAGGAATGTGGAGCCTCATGTAGCAGGCCCTTTAGAATTATCCGATCTATGGGGATCTTTGTGCCTTTGCACCTTTTGTGTAGGCTATTTTATAGGTGTTCCCCTCCATCTTGTTTGCTGATCCCAGACATGACATTTTATTTTTATTTATTTTTTCTGGTACCAGGGATCGAACTCGGGTCCTTGTGCTTGTGAAGCAGGAGGCGGAACCACTGAGCTAACTCCCCAGCCCTACATGACATTTGATGACCAGTTTTGTGTTCATTAACAAGTGACTTCAATATCCCATACTTCCTGTGTGGGTGTCCTTCACTCAGATGACCACTCTTAACATAGTACTGGTTTCCAGCCAGACGTGGTGCTGTACACCTGTAATCCTAGCACTTGGGAAACAGAGGCAGGAGGCTTGCTGCAAGTTCAAGGCCAGCCTGAACTACATAGCAAGAGCCTGTCTCAAAAAACCAAACATATTACTGGTATCCTTATTCACCAATGAATTAAAATCTTGGACGCATGCTCATTTGAAAGTCATGTTTTTACCTTTCTGAAAATTACTTTGAGAGCTGGGTGTGGCAGTACACGCCCCTCGCCCCAGACCTTGGGAGGCTGAAGTGGGAGGATCACCACAAGTTCAAGGCCAGCCTGAGCTAAATGATGAGCTCAAGGCCAGCCTGAATTACAGAGCAAGATCCGCCCCCCATCTCTCTCTCTCTCAAAAAAAATTATTTTTATTTTTTAATTTTTTTGAGACAGGATCTTGCTATGCTCTCTGTAGTTCAAACTGGCCTTGAACATGATCTGCAGCCCAGGTTGGCCTCAAACTTACAGCGATCCTCCTGCCTCAGCCTCCCAAAGGCTGAAATTACAGGAAAGAACTGCCATGTCCAGCTGATAATTATTTAATACCTCATTTTTATATCCTCAGTGCCTGGCATATAATGGTTCCTCTATTTTTTTTAATCAATTAAGCTATCAATTATATATTTTATTTTTATCTTATTAGAAAATGATATAGAGCACCAAGCAATCCAAATAAGCAAAAATAATCCAAACAAGGGAAATATTATAATTCCCAACCTGCTAGAAATCTGAAATGTGACTTCTTGTTTTCTAAAATCGAAGAATGAACTCTAGGAACAACAGAGGTTAAGAGTAAGGAAGATTTATTGAGGGATAGGCAGCTCCTTCCTGAGAGGAACAAGAGGGAACACCCAGAAAGTGGGTTGCCCAGGGCCTTGTTTTCCAGGGTGTTTTTATGGAGCAAAGCCATGAGGTGAGACAGGTACAAAGTAGAACAAAACTATAGCCAACTAATGAGATCCAATGAGAAATCACAAGGTGAGCATAAGGTGGGACAAAACTATGATCAACCAATAAGGTTACAAGTACAGTCACCCAGGTAATATTGATTAAATGGGGATCAGATGGGGAAACAACTTACCTAGCAAGCATATGTAAAATAACAAGGAATTTCCGGAAAGGAAATGGGCTAGGAAGACTGATGCCTATTTAGAATATCAACCACCGCTATTTATCCCTAGGGAAAGTGTGTGTGTGGAGTACTTTTTCTCTTTTTATAATGCTGACCTTCAGTGAATGTGTCTGGATTGTCTTTTGTATTGACTCCTGTCCATACAAACAGGGTTGGCCCAGTCTAACTGCCTACAAGATATCTAATTAACTTAGCTGTCTACAATAGAATCATCCCGTGTATTATTTTAATCTTTTTAAATTTAATAGTTTAGCATCTTCTCATTCCAGTAAGCTCTTCATTGATAACATGATTCATGCCTATATAATATCTCATCGTGTAATGTGTCATGCCTGACCTAAGTGAGACCTTCACAAACCAACAGGACAAAAGCAAATAGGATGCTTTCAGCAAACGACAGGCTATTTCTCCGTAAACAGATCTCCCCAGTGCCGAAAAGTCCAGTGATTGTCCACACACTGCGCTCACTGTTCTTGGACTCAACCCTAAACACTTTACCCCGGATTCCTCAGCCCCTTCAATACCTATTTAAGCCTAATTCCTTTCCCAGTTAGCTGCTAACACCTCTCTCCCGGTGTATGTGTATTGATAACATAATGTCGCGTAATTTATACGTTCATTCCTTTCATGGTTGCACTGTCAACAACCTTATTCAAAAGTCTTTGAGCTGGGAGTGGTGGCACACTCAGGAGGCTGAGGCAGGAGGATCGCTGTGAGCTCGAGACCAGCCTGGACTACGTAGTGAGTTCCAGGTCAGTCTCAACTATATTAAAAAAAAAAAAAAAAAAAAAAAAAAAAAAAAAGTCTTTGAAACCAGCTGTACTTCCTCAAGCTATATTCCTAGAAGGGAAACCCCTAGGTCAAAGGTTATGAACGTATTTGCAGCTTTTCCTAAGACTATTATCAGCCCAGGGATTTAGTTCAGTGATGCCGCACCTACCTCATAAGCACAAGGTCCTGGGTTCGACTCCAGGTACCAAAAATAAATAAATAAATAAATAATGTACATTTATCAAAGTTAGCTCAGGAAAGGCTGTATGATGACTTTTAAAATTCTCTTTCTTTATGGCATAAATAAATAAAATGCAAGTATTTCCCTTTATATATTGGTGAGGTTTAAAGATTGTCTTTCTTGCCCTTAAGGCAAGAAGTACTTTTTCAGGCGCTAATGATTTGGTCTCAAGGTCTGTTGAAAGAAAGGAAAGAAAGGAAAGAAAGGAAAGAAAGGAAGGAAGGAAGGAAGGAAGGAAGGAAGAAAGAAAGAAAGAAAGAAAGAAAAAAAGAAAGAAAGAAAGAAAGAGAGAGAAAGAGAGAAAGAAAGAAAGAGAAAGAAAGAAAGAAAGAGAGAGAAAGAGAGAAAGAAAGAGAGAGAGAGAGAAAGAGAGAGAGAGGAAGAAAGAAAGAAAGAAAGAAAGAACTGAGAAAGAAAGAAAGAGAAAGAAAGAAAGAAAGAGAGAGAAAGAGAGAAAGAAAGAGAGAGAGAAAGAAAGAAAGAAAGAGAGAGAGAGAGAAAGAGAGAGAGAGAGGAAGAAAGAAAGAAAGAAAGAAAGAACGAGAGAGAGAGAGAGAGAGAGGGAGAAAGAAAGAAAGAAAGAAAGAAAGAAAGAAAGAAAGAAAGAAAGAAAGAAAGAAAGAAAGAAAGAAAGAAAGAAAGAAAGAAAGAAAGAAAGAAAGAAAGAAAGAAAGAAAAAGGAGCAGTGATTTGACGACAGGAAGTGCCTCAGTCAGAAACAGGAAAAAGAGGGATTTCCCCGAGCTCAAAAGGTAGAGAAACCAGAAAACCTAGCAGAGTTCTAGGAGGGGTGCAGCTCAAACCTTGGAGAGGTCTTGGCATCAGATTCTACAGAAGGCCGCAGCCTCTAGGTGACAGGGACTAGGTGTCAGCATCCAGGGAGCTCCCCAGCCCGATAGAATTGGCTCCTCCCCGGAGCCTGCTCTGCACAGGGATATATTGCCAATCTGCTCTTCCTCCAACTTCTGGTAGCCCCAGGGTCCCCTGAGCAGCCATTGCTGTGAGAGGACCAAATCGGCTGCCAACTATGGGTAGGTGGAGAGCCACTTCCTCAAGCCCCCGGGTGCCCCTCGTGGCCCATCAGCTCCAGTCCCTCCACTAGACCTCTTCCAAAACCTAGCCATTACAGGGTGGACGCATGTTGAGACAGAGGGCCTCCAGGGCCTCCAGCACACCTCTTCCGACTGTTTCATGTTTGTAGAGCACTGGTTGTTACATTCAGCTCAGTGCAGGATAGGTCTGAACAAATTCCAGCTCCCTGGTCTAGGACAGTGGTTTACAGCATCTTCATTTTTCCTGCTTTCCCCCAATCTAATAAATCGTCTGGATTCTCTTAGGGACTCAAAGTCTCATAGGCTTTGTTGTTTTCCCGGATCACAATTTTCAGAACTACAGCTGCCTCCAGGATCCTCTGAGCCTTGGTTCAAATACCTGTTGGCTGTTGTTAACACACTACCTCACTTCAACCTCCCTACTCTGCCCAAGGCAGCATCTTTCCCCTGAACATACGGCGAAACGAGTTCAGGGAGAGGAGCTGGCCCAGTTCCTACGGCTGGGAGACAGGAAGACCAGGACTCAAACATTACTGGGCCTTTTTAAGATCCTCTTAAACCTGGAATCATTCTTAGCTTTGAAGCCCTCCCCACATGGCTTCAAACACATGAACACGTGCTCTCTGTGTGGAGGAAATGCAGTAGACCTATAACTACACGCCAGGGATGGCGAACCTTTCAAAGCTCTCAGTGATACAAACAGCACGCTGCAGCATCAGCGCCAGTCCTCACCACGGCATGAGTGGCAGCTGACTGACTGACACAGTTATGTTTGGAAGACATTTAGTAAACACCTATTCATTTCCATCTGGTAGCTCCCTTTTCCCATTTGTGAGTAAGAATCAGTCTCCGGAGCTGGGTGCATGGCGCATACCTACAATCCCAGCACCCAGGAGGCTGAGGCAGGATTGCCCCGAGTTCCAGACCAGCCTGGGCTACCTAGTGAGTTCGAGACCAGGCTGAATTATACAGTGAGACCCTGTCTCAAACACACACACACACAATGAATCAATCAATCAATTTCCGGGACTCAGACTCTTTTGTTTTTTTTTGGTAACAGGGATCTAACTCGGGTCCTTGCGCTTGCAAGGCAGGCAGTGGAACCACTGATCTAAATCTCCAGCCTCAGACCTTTTTTGTAATCCTCACTTTGTTATAAAACAGAAAAACTACAACACTCTCAAAGTTTGTGCTTCTCACTGCACTCCCATACTCTCCCTTGCCATACCTGGAACATGATCCGCATTTTACACAGGAGGAAACCACAACTGGATTCCTCTGGGTGCAGGTAACAGCGCCAACACACACTGAGTGAAACAAAATAATATGACTACATAGTTGCGACTTTATTCCAGGAAAGACCTGTCTCGGAAGACAAATTTGCAAATAAACTCACTGCTTGAGTTCAAGAAAATCCACCTAAAACCACATGACTTTTCAACAGGTAACATCAAACAAATCTCTGTGATCCTGAAGCCCTCTTCTCACACTAGGCCTACAGCACTATAACCAAGGACTGTTGTACCCAGATCGCAGTTTCCCCAAGGACCACCAGAGAAACAAATCCGCTGCAATTACAAGAGAAGTTTATTGCAGGTTCGAACCTGGACCCTTGTCCACCAGGGAGCAAGAGCCCAGTGTTCAGGTTATAGCATGATTATATAGGGTTCAAGGGGCTTGAAATCTTATTCTTTCTATTGGCTCATTTTTACAATTCCTGCTGATTCTATTGGCCTATAATTCTAATTTACCATTGGATATTATAAGATGTAATACTTCAAACTTATTGGCTACAATTTGGGCACGGGCAGGGGTTTGAGCGGGAGATTTATCTTAGTCATCTAACTGCCACAGCTGGTTTCGCCATACTTTGACCTGGCTGCAGTTTCTGGAATAAACCACCCAGTTGGGATTCCTGGAAACTGCTCATTTGGAATTCCTGAAAAACCTGGTTTTTGGTTAATCTATTCTGAGCAATGGAAGGCTATCTGCAGAGTTTAAAGGTCAGCCCGAATGATGGAGCATCTAATCTGGTTTAGCTAAAACGGAGGGACTTTGGCCTCTTTCGGTTCCTCAAGGACCCTTGATTATTAGGTGTTTAATCTTTAACATGATCCCAGCCCAGCCCTAACTAGGTCTTGCTACAAAGTATTATAGGCAACTGAGTTAAATAGAAATATTATAGGCAATCAGGGCTAGGTCCTGGAGAGAGTCAGGACAAAAGTAGAGCTGGGCGTGGCTCCTGTAATCCCAGCGCTCGGGAGGCTGAGGCAGGAGATCGCTGTGAGTTGGAGACCAGCCTGGGCTACATAGTGAGTTCCAGGTCAGCCTCAACTACATAGTGAGACCCTGTCTCAAAAAACCAAAAAAACAAAACAAAACAAACGAACAACAACAAAAAAAACCCACCAAAAACAAAAGTGAAACACCACAGCTACAGCAGGAGACAGCTATTGGAGACCAGGCCTCCAAATAAAGACAAGATGACCAGACCTGCACGCTTCCTCAAGAGAACACTGGGCCTAATGAAGCCTATAGGAACACCAGCCACCCCAGTGGGTGACCAGAGACCCTGGACCCACTGTTTCCTAGGAGAAATCTTTGTCCTTGCCATCCACACTTGTTACATGACTTGTTTCCCAAGCAGACCTCTATTGCCTAAGTGACTACACTCGTAACCTTATTGGATGACAATGCCTGTGGCCCACCTTGTACCCATGAGGGTTTTGCTCTATAAAACTCCTCTGTAAAGTGGGGTCCCCAGCTTCCACTTGGGACCCCTCCTGCCCCTCAAGGGCTTTCCTATCCATAGTTTCCTACTCTTAACCTCTGTGTTTTTTGTTTTGTTTTGTACCAGGGATCGAACCCTGGACCTTGCACTTGCGAGGCAGGCGGTGGAACCACTGAGGCAAATCCCTGGCCACCGCTCTTGTTCCTAGAATTCGTTCTTTGGCTCTTTGAACTAACAGGTTGGGAGATGTAATATTTCATATTTCATCTCCGGTACTATTTCCCATATCAAAAAATCCCGCTTTAGTCTTTGTGTGCGCCAGGGATCGAACTCAGGACCTTGGGCTTGATGCCACTGAGCTAAATCCCTGGCCCAAAAAGGACCTGCTTTAAATCGGATCCCCAAACCTCAATACTCCAACTTTGTCTTCCCCACCTACATCCTAAGACTTTTCCAAGTCCCTCTGCACCTGGTAACCAACACACTCATCTTTATCAGTGGTTGTTTGGATGGTGTCTGGGAGACGGTATTTGGCAGGGAAAGGTGACCAATACATCTGCCAACAAGAGATGCATAGCTGTCAGGGCAGCAGCAGTGTCTGTGAAGAAACCAAGGCCCGGCAGTTAAATGCTTTGCCCAAGGTCATGCAAGAGTTAGTGGGAGATCTCCAAAGAGAACCCAGGCTCCCTCATCCAAACGGGCGCTTCTCTCCCCAAGCAGGGCACTGCCCTTGGAACCAGCCCAGCGGGAAGCTAGGGTTCCTCCTCTGCGTTACCCAGGCACTGCTGCACTAAAGGTGACTCAGGAGGAAGCTCTCCTCTCCGGTCCTTCCTTGCTAAGCCAGCTCGCTCATATGGGAGAAAATACAAGCTAATTGCCGGATGATTAATTCCAGCCAATTAAAGTACCTTCAGTTTGAGGAAGCTCAGCCTCAGGGTAAGAAGGTGACGGGAAGGTTGGCCAGCCGATGTCTGGCCGCAAAGATTGCACGGTAGGGGTCTGGAGAGCCCCCGGGGTGCCCCCACACAGTCTCGAGGTCCTCTCACGGGGACCTGCAGGAAGGGCGCCCCGATGTTCTAGAGGGAAGGGCCCTGAGCCTGGTTGGGCAAAGGCCACTCCGCGATGCAAGCACCTGCCAGCGCCCCGGTGCGAGGACACTCTGGGGCATTTGCATTTGTCCTTGAGGGAGCGGAAGCGACCCAGTGGCTGAACCCCACGGTCTCCCTCCAGTCACCAGCTGCGAGTCGCCCGGTATCTGTCGCCCCCTGGTGGCCGGTTGAGCCTTGCTGTTCTGGCTTTGAGTCCCCTTGAAAAATGAGGGAAATGAATGCCACAAAAACACAACAACAAAAAACTGGCGCGCTCCTATAAAATAATTTCAGCTGGGTGGGAGGCTGAGGCAGGAGGATTGCGAGTTTGAGGCCAGCCTGGGCAATTCAGGGAGATCCTCAAAATTCATCACTTTCTAATTATTTTGCTGCATTTTTCTACTAGCTAGGTTTTTGGAATATGTTATATTCGTGTGGTGCAGATACTAATAATGTGCTACTGTTCTTTTCTTTTTTGAGACAGGGTCTCTTTATGTAGTTCGGGCTGGTCTTGAACTCACTGTGGAACCCAGGCTGGCCTCGAACTCAGCGATCCTCCTGCCTCAGTCTCCCAAATGCTGGGATTGCAGGCGTGCACCACTACACGTGGCTCAAGCACATTGAGTTTCAGTTCCACATTCAATGACATCATATTGGTGGCTTGAACTGGGCCATGATGAAAATATTTATATCACAGAATTAGCAAGCTTTTTTCCCCACCCAGGAAGTGGGTGGTTACATTTTAAGTGTGGTAACTGCACTCCTGTAATCCCACATGTGGAAGGCTGAGGCACGACGATCACCACGACTTTGAGGTCAGTCTCGAATAGATAGTGAGACCCTGTCTCAAAAACAAAAAATAAAGAAACTTTAGCCAGCACACTACTGAAATCAGACCATAGCCAGGGAAGAAAGAGAACAAGTCCATATCTGGTGCCAAGGAAGAATATAATCATCTCCTTTCCATTAAGGCCCAAGACAGGACCAACACATGCTGTTCAATCAGGGCATAAAGGGGAGAGAGGAACTTACCTGCTGAACTGAGCTCCCCCAGTTCAAGAGCAGCTCCCCCCAACTTCACCTGACAGTGACATTCGCCTGAGCTTTTCTTCTGTAACTGTCATAATCATTAGCCCTCATTGTAAGGCCTTGAATGCCAATAACTGAAGAAGTTTCAAAGATGACGTTCAGCGGGGGAAGAATGTTGAGTTGGGTTTGATATGATCCGAACTTTGCTTTAGGATGAGACCCAACATCCACGTGCAGAGCACGTTGAGGACTCTGACCAGCAAATGTGGGAGAAAAGGGCTTACAGGGATGAGTGTTAAGTCACAACCCATGGCTTGTTAATGGGGACAGGAGATGGCAAACAGTTACTGTGTGTGATCAGGGGCCGGGGATGTGGCTCAGTGGTTCTGCCTCCTGCCTCGCAAGCACAAGGACCTGAGTTCGATCCCTGGTACCAAAAAAATAAAGCGATCAGAAGGAAGACGATAAGGCCCTGGGGTAGAAAGGCAGGTGGAGCTGTAGGCTGCCTGGAAGGAAAGAGCCTGGGGAGCTGGTTTTTCTCTCTTTGCCAAGGCTAAGACCCCCAACCTTTGGGCTGTCTTCCACCTTCCCCTGTATCTAGCCGAGAAGGAATACAGAGTACGGCTGAAGGTGCCTGACTCGACACCCGGACCATGATTCGCAAACACAGATTCCCTCTGTCTCTCACCTTTCACATGCATATTTTGGAAAGTTTTCCCAGCTTCAACACATAGCTTGATGCCTCGACTCAAAGTCAGTCTCTTCAAGTTTGGGCTGTGCGTTTGTGTGTGTTCCAAATGATCTACAGGTCAATCTGTCGGTCAATCCTGAAAAGCAGAATTGCCTTGGAAAAGCTTTCAATTTTGATATATTTAAATTTGCATTTTATTCTTATTAGTACATGTTTGCAATTCATGCAGTTTCCAGTCATCTGATGTATTTATCACAGCTTGTCTCCTATTTATTTATTTATTGGATTTTTGAGACAGGGTCTCACTATGTAGTTGAGACTGACCTGGAACTCACCATGTAGCCCAGGCTGGTCTCCAACTCACAGCGATCCTCCTGCCTCAGCCTCCCGAGTGCTAGGGTTACAGGCGTGCGCCACCAAGGCCGGCTTGTCTTTTTTAAAAATCCCCTCTCCACTGGGGACTTGGCTCAGTACACCTAATAATCTAGGGTTCCGCTGCCTGTCTCGCAAGTGCAAGGGTCCGAGTTTGATTCCTGGTACAAAAAAAATCCCCTCTCCCCATTTCCTGCCTCCGCCATCAGGTTCCCTCTCCCCTTTTTCATACTCATTAATACGTCTTAGCTCATGTTATGGGATACAGTGTTTACACTAATTGGAATTATTAGGTTCCTCTACCTGGCATATCTTTATTTTATTCTTTGTTTTTGGTCCCGGGGATCGAACTCGGGTCCTTGCGCTTGCCAGGCAGGCCGCCGAACCGCTGAGCTAAATCCCCGGCCCTGTGTCTTTATTCTTATTTCCCCATCCCCTCCTCCTCACCACTCACTCTTGTTCCCTTAAACCATTTCCCTATTACAAGAGATCTGTCCGTGTCCCTTTCTATCCATCCTTCATTTTCTGTCTGTCCTCTGCCTCACCAAATGAGAGATACCATACAGTATTTAAGCTTGTGTGTCTGGTTTATTTCACTCGACATTGTATTTTCCAGGTGCATCCATATTCTCCTACAAATGTGTCATTTTTTATAGCAGAGTAGTACTCCATTATACACACAGATATCACATTTTCTTTATCCAGTCATCTGTTGGATATACAGGCTGCTTCCAGGATTTAGCTATTACAAATTGTGCTATTACAAATTGGTATGTATGTATCACTGTAGTATAATGACTTAAACCCTTTAGGGAATATACCTAGCAGGGGTATAGCTGGGTCATATGGAATTTCTAATTTCAGTGCTTTAGAAATTTCCATAGTGATTTCTGTAATCATTGTACTAGTTTGAATTCCCACCAACAATGCAGGAAGGGTCCTTTTTTTCCCCCCTTCTTAAATCATGCCAGCATTTGCTATCATTTGATTTCCTGCTGCCATTCTTTCTGGAGTAAGATGGAATCTTAGTGTTAATTTGCCTTTCTCTAATGGCCAGAGATGTTGAAAATTGTTTCATATATTTGTTGACCATTTGTATTTCTTCTTCTGTGAAACATCTGTTCATTTCTTGTTTCTTGACTGGGTCTTTTAATTTTAGGTGTTTTTTGTTTTTGTTTTAGTTCTTTGTGTACTCTAGATACTAGTCCTCTAAGGAGTTGCTGGCAAAAATTTTTTTCCCATTCTTAGGTTGTGTCTTCACTCTGATTCACTCTTTTGCTGAACAGAAGCTTTTTAGTCTGCTATAATCCCATTTGTTGATTCTTGCTGCTATTAATTGCGTGATTAAAGTTTTGTCTAGGAAATCCTTTCCTACACCTGTCTTCATGTGTTCTACCTGTTTTATCTTCCAGAAGGTTTAATGTTTTAGTATTTAGATCCATTTTTATTTTAATTTAGTATATTTTAGAGAGAGGGGTCCAGTTTCATTCTTCTGCAAGCAGATAGCCAGTTTTCCCAACACCACTTGTTGAATAGGCTGTCTTTCCTCCAACATTTTTTTGGCCCCTTTGTGGGTATGTCGGGAGGTTTCTGTATCCTCAGATCTGATTCATTGATCCACGTTGTCTGTTTTGGTTCCAGTACCATGCAGTTTTTATCACTTTTGCTTTGTAGTATAGCTTGAGTCTGATATTGCTCTGCCACCTGCTTTGCTCTTATTACCCCAAATTACGTTTGCTATTCTGGATCTCTTCTGGCTCCATATAAATTTTAGGATTGTTTTCTCTAGATCTATAAAGTATGCTGTTGGCATTATGATTGGGATTGCTCTGAACCTGGATAACAGTCTTGGAAGTATGGCCATTTTGATAATACTGGTTCTGCCTATCCAGAAGCAGGGGACATCTTCTCACTTTCTGATGTCCTCTTCAATCTTCATCTTCAGACTATTGTAGTTTTCTCCGTAGAGGTCTTTCACTTCTTTGGTTAATTCCTACAGATTTCATTTTTCTCGGTACTACTGTGAATGGTATTATTTTCATAATTTCCTTTTCATTCCGTTCATTGTGGTGTACACAAATGCTGATTTGTGTGTTGATCTTGTATCTTGCTATTTTTCGGTGATTTTTTTTTGGGGGGGTACTGGGGATCAAACTTGGGTCCTTGCACTTGCAAGGCTGGCAGCAGAACCACTGAGCTAAATCCCTGGCCCAATTGATTATTAATTCTAAGAGATTTCCAGTGGAGTTCTTTGGATCTTCTATATAGAGTGTCATCTGCAAATAATAATTTGAGTCCTTCCTTTCCTATATGTATCCCTTTAATTTTATTTTTTTCTCTTGCTGAGTTGCTCTGGCGAATGTTTCAAGTATTATGTTAAATAGAAGAGGTGACAGTGGACATCTTGTCTTGTTCCAGAATTTAGGGAGAATGCTTTTAGTCTTTCCCCATTTAGTATGATGCTGGCTTTTGGTTTGCCATAAACAGCTTTTATCATATTCAAGTATGGTCCTTCTATACTTGTTTTCCTCAGGGGTTTTATCATGAACAGGTATTGGGTTTTGTCAAAAGCCTTTTCTGTATCTATTGATATGATCATGTGTTTTGTTTTTTGTTGTTGTTGTTTTATACCAGGGATTGAACTTGGGTCCTTGGGCTTGCAAGGCAGGCAGCCAAACCACTAAGCTAAATCCCCAGCCCATGAACATGCGGTGTTTTACCTTGCCCGTTCATGTGATGCATTACATTTACTGACTTACGTATGTTGAACCATCCTTTCATCTCTTCGTGTGTGTGTGTGAGACAGGGTCTCACTGTGTGGTGAGGCTGGCCTTGAACTATGTAGTCCAAGCTGTGCTAAGGGTTGCTCTCTTTCTTTTCTCTCTCCTTCCGTTCTTTTTCTCTCTTGCTTCCTTCCTCCCTCCCCCCTCTTTCCAGTACTGGGGATTGAAACTGGGCCCTTCACACTGAGGTACATTCCCAGCCCAACCCCCCTTTTTGTGTTTGTTTTTTTGAGACAGGTTCTCACTACATTTTCAGGCTGGCCTTGAATGCACTATGTAGCCCAGGCTGGTCTCAAGCTCACAGTGATTCTCCTGCCTCAGCCTCCCCAGTACTGGAATAACAGGCATGTACCACTATGCCTAGCTGGATTCAAACTTTTGAACCTCCTACCTCAGCCTCTCAAGAGTGCTGGGATATGACACCACACTGGCTCAGCCTCCCCGCGACCACCACCTGGAGTCTCAGTAAATTGCCCAGGAGGACCTTGAACCCATGATACTCCTGCCTTGGTCCTCTCAAATAGCTGGGATTACAAGTGCATACCACTATGCCCAGCCTCAGTGTGTTTCCTACAGCCTATATTTTCTTCTTTCATATTGTATTCCTTTGGTTGGAGAATGTCTTTCCACCAATGGCTTTCTAAGAGTAGTGGGGTGGG